AAATAAAAAAAATTTCAGGTGGAATATCCATTTAAAATGTAAAGAATGAATTCTCGATAGGGTGGAGCCTGCTGCGGATTAGGGCTTTTATCTGTTTAGTTAAAAAGATTGGGTGGATAGCAGACAGAGAGAGGGGTCTCCCTTTGTGCTGGAGCCTGGTGGGGGGTACATGGGCAGGCCCTGGGAGGTGGGCCACATGTCTGAGTTGGTGTGATGATGAAGAGACAAGGAATCGGACGAGGGGGGGTTTAGAGCTGGCAAAGGGGCAGTTGGGTAATAGATCATTTTCACAACCTTTGTTTGCAAAGCAAGGCAGGGGGAGGGGCTGGCACCTTTTTACTTAATTACCAGGAGGGGGTACCTCTAAACTGAAGCGTGCCCTCGACTGCTTTTGTTTTATTTATATTTTTTATTCATGCTGAATCTTCAAATGGATATTTAGTTTGTTTATATATATATATATATACAGTGAGATTTAAGATTGACAGTGTTTGGCCTGTTAATGATCAAATTTTGTAATGAATTAATTTTATTTATTCATATAAAATATTTTTATTTTTTTATATTTTATTATAATTATTTTTGTATATTTTATTTATTGAAGATTAAATCTTAAAAATGCATTAAAACCAAGCCCCATATTTAAAGTTTTAACGTATTACCCTCAATATTTTTATTTCTTAAGAATATTGAACTCACCTTCAATCTTTATTAGTGTTGCCCTCAGTATTTTATTGTATATTGCTTAAGAATATCTTAAATCAGGCCACACCTCCTTTATGTATTACTGTTGCCCTCAGTATTTTTATTTAATTTAACTAAAAATGTCTTAATCTTTAAAAACTTGCCTTGAAAAACCAAGTACCCATCCACTCTCCACGTACTATTAGTATTGTCCTCAGTATTTTATTTTATTTACTTGTAATGTTCATTTTAGTTGTTGCTTAAGAATACCTTAATCTTAAAAAGGTACCTTGATAAATCAAGCCTCCACCTGCTTTCTTTGTTATCATGAGTGTTGTTTTTTAAAGAATGCTTTTGTCTTTGTTAGAGACTGGCCTGCAGGGTACATGCAGGATTGAAGTGTGGACTGCCCTCCAGTGGTGGTCAGGCAGCCAGCAATCATTCTAATTTGATTAGATATTTTATCTCTTTATAATGTGACATTATTGGATGCTGATTTCATCATTGAATCACTTTATGCATTAGCAGGATGAAGTAGAAAGATCAGGAGACATTAGTCAGTTTAGCTCGTACACTTTATTCAAGTAAATGAGAGGTCAGAGCAGAACAGGGTCATTTATCTCAATAATGCAGTTAGATCTTCTTGCTTGTACGTACAAAAACAACTGGACCACTAGCACAAGTGGCTGTGGAGGTCTGTAAAGCAAAGCAAAAGCACTTTAGCTACTGTACAAGCATTGAAACTCATTTCACAATGTCAAATATCATGATATCTCACCTCCACCAGCTTTCCACCGCTGATCTCAGATGTGTGGTGGTACTTGGGGAAACTTATGGCCAGCTTGCCCCCTTCCATGGAGACTACGCCCTAGTGAGGACATGCAAGTGTGAGTTCTCATCACTTGCAAACTAGCCTTTAAAGGGGTCATCGGATGCTCATAGAAAAGTCTATAACATACTTTGGTTAAAATTTCATGGCAGTGTAAAAAACACCTTTTTTCTTTACCCTGTCAAATCAGCTCTTTTCAGCAAGCCGTTCTAGTCCATGTTGCTTTAAATGCTAATGAGCTCTGCTGACCCCGCCCCTCTCTTCCTTGGGGTGACTAGCAGACTTTAAACTTCAGCCGCGAAACTGGCTAACTAGCACATTATTAGGAAAGGCCATTTGCAAAGATTCATAAAAAAAAACCTTATACTCATTTATTCTGTAGATGAAGCTGGATCACGAATGATTCGCGCGAACATAGATGCATTTAGGTAGATCGGGATCCACGTGTTCCCTTCAGAAACTAAAGTAACTTTAATCCGCTGCATCTTCAGCGGCTCAGATGTCGGGAGTAAATGACGACTGCTATATTTATTCTTACATCCAACAACAAAACACCTCAATCTTAATCGGAGACATTCTTGTCTTCCCCTGCACCGGAGTCGACACAATGGCGGACTGATGACAGCTCACTCAGGGCGGGTCTAAGTTAAGACGGCCTTGTCAATCAACTATCGTGGGAGGGGCCTGTGCAGACCTACGTCATTCTGACAAGAATCTCAGAACAGCGTAATTTGAGAAAGGGGGTTTTAAAATAGGGATTTAAAAAAAAAAACACTGGGTGGATTTTTATCATTATAGGGTGGGTGTGTACACACTTTCAACACACATTTATGTTCAAACAACTTGTAAAGTGAATTTAGCATCCGATGACCCCTTTAAGAATCTCACTGAAGTCATAGTAGCTTCAGTCTGATCTCTCATGAAAGTTATGAGGTCCTACCTTAAATTTCTTCCCTCCAACAGTCTCCATGTCACTCTCTTTGCCAACGATGAACTTGTTGGTCACAACATGGTTATTTGGGTAGTACTGGATCCATGTGAAATCATCTCCGTTCTGGATGACCTCTGTCACAAGCTTGAAGTCACGGCCCTTTGAGATGACATCATCAGGGATACCTGAGGTGTAGGGGACCGAATCAGCATATTAGAATGATTTCTAAAGGATCATGTGACACTGAAGACTGGAGTAATGGCTGCTTACAATTCGGTTGTACCTTCACAGGAGTAAATTACATTTTAAAATGTATCAAAATAGAAAGAAATTCTGTTAAAATGTATTGATATTTCGCAATATAACTGTTTTTACTTTGCTTTTGATCAAATAAATGCTGCCATTAAGATAATTGTTTCAGAAACATTCAAAAATCTTTATTATTCCATAATTTTACCAGTAGAGTATGTTGAAATGTGTCCTCTTAAAAATAAAGATTCCAAATAGGGATTTTTTTTGCAGCGATGCCATAGAAAAACCATATTGGGCTTCACAAAGAACCTTTCATTTAACTTTTTTTCAGTGTGAGGAACATTTGAATAATTTATAGAAATTTTTATATTCATAGATTGTTTTTGGTTCTTAAGCTTGCTTGCAAATGAGATGCAAACACACCACAACATGTAGGACAACATTTTCTTGTCCAAAGCAATTTATAGTACAAGGACAGTCTAAACTAGAGCAACCTAGGATTAAGTGCATGGAAGTGCAGCCAGAAATTTGTGTGAAGAACATTTTGATATTCTAGAGAACCTTTTTCTTCTGTAAAGAACCTTTTGTGCAGTGGAAAGGTTCTGTGGATGTTAAATGTTCTTCATGGAACCTTAAGTGTTAAATGAAGAACTTTTATTTTTAAGAGTGTGTCTTTCCACCATCAACAGAGCAAAAATCAGTTGTTTGAAAAGTTGCAGCTTACCAATCAGTTTGCAGAACTCTTCATATCCATCCTGAGATTCGGTTTCCCACTTTCCGTTGAAAGCCATGGTTTGGGCGTTGATTGTTGAGCAGAGAGGAAGAGCAAGCTGAGAACTGAAGTACTGATGGGTGAAGTTTCCTGCTCTTATATTCCCTACCGATCTTCAACTCTGCCTCTTTTTTTCATGACATTATGGGCACACCATCACCATAACCAAGTCATAAACTTTTACGATGGCCTCACAAAAGCACAAGTCATCAAGTGCATGACCGCACGGCTTAGCTGGGTAGCAAAGATGTACCATACATGTGCAATGAAGGATAATCATTCATGCTTAAAATCTTTTCCAATACAGTGTGTACAGTGACACAACATTGGATATAATAGAAATAGCGCTTGCCATCTATATGGTCAATATTCACGACAAACAGACGATTAATGGGAGCAATATAGCAATATCTCCCATTTGTGCAGCAGACTATCTCTTGTAATGAACCAGCTACAAACCAGGTTTTAGATTACAGCCGTCGAGCCTGAAGCTTGGTAGTACTGAAGGCCATCTGCCTTGACCTTGCTTTTGAAAGGATAGCGAGCGCTTTATGTCAGACTGAACTATATGTTCCAGTAGATAGTGATTCATACCCACACAAATCTTTCATACATCTAAAAAACTCAACTAAGATGGGGAAAAAAACAGGATATGCTATTCTTTACTTTGAATTTTCTACCAAAAAAATGAGAAAATTCTACTTTCTTCTGTGGAACATCGAAGATATTTTGAATGGAAGTCAAAGGGCTCCAGTGGTGTTTGATTCCCAATGTTCTTTAAAATCTCTTCTTTTGTGTTTCTGCAGAAGTAGAAAGCCATACAGGTTTGGAACCACATGAGGGTGAGTAAATGATGTAAGAATTTTCATTTTTGTCTGGAGTATTCTTAAAATTAATCGATTAAAAATCTGTAATCAGATGAACTGTCTTAAAACTGTCTGTCTGTAGGTTTAGGCCCACGCCCTTCAGCACATAAACCTCTGCTAGTTTCTCATAGAATACAGCTTTCATTGCATCACCTCCCTTCCCCTCGGCCTTACATTTTCATTTTTTTCTCAAGTCTTACGTTGAGATTTACAGATACATTTCAGCTTCAAAGATCTCTACGATACACAAATCTAGCAGAATGATGAGCTGAAGAGAGATAAAAGCAGGATCAGAACAGGATGAGCTCTCTTTTTCACTTCCAGAGCTAGCTGCAACCATCTCTCACCTATGAAAGCACACATTGATTCTTGGGGAACAGTGGGAACAGGCACTTCTGAAGCATCAAAAGGTCATTTGATGATGAGATATTATTATTTCTGGCTGTCGAATACGACTCCAATCCCGCGTCAAGCCATCCTACCGATCTGGAGTGTGAACTTATAGGCTTTACGCAGCCAGATCCCGAACCCGCATCCGATGCTCCCGGGTCGGAACTCAAAACTCACGAGGATGCTTTCCATGACATCCCGCACCGCTCAGATCACCTGGACTCCCTGTCCGCTGCGGAGGAGACCTCGCTGGGAGAATCGGTGGGTCAGAGCTGCATGAGTGACTTGTCTACTGTTTCCAGTAAGGACTCTCCCGAACTTCCAGCGGAGTTGGATCAGTCGCTCATGTCAGCAGCAGAGGCGGAGGATGTGAGCTCGCATCCTCTTCATCAGCAGAGCTTCAAAACGGATCTCAGCGAGCCCGACAGGGTGTCGGCGGAGACGAAAGACCCGGTTCTGTGTCCGGCGGAGCCCGGCGCCGTTGAGCGCCTGATGCTCGGCTCCGAGGTTCGAGTCACGCTGGATCACATCATCGACGATGCGCTCGTGGTGTCGTTTCGCTTGGGCGAGAAGATCTTCTCTGGGGTACTCATGGACCTTTCGAAAAGGTAAACACGGTACTTGTGCAAAGAAATTGCAGTTGTACATCCAGCATACTTCCCAAAGTTGGCTTTCGTGGCTGTCAGAAAGCTAAACAGCATCTTCACCATTACATATTGGTTTAGAAATAATATTTTAGTTCATGGTATAAGCTGTCACTATAGTTTAGATTATAGCTTTATTCTTTATAAAAATTAAGCCATTAATGTGACTGTTTTTGTCTGTTCTATTTTATTGTTTTACTCAATATTTATTGTTTAATTTTCCTAAATTAATTATGTATATAAATGCTGTATTGTATTATAATATATTGTATTATGGAAAATACTTATTTTGGTTGGTGTGTGACGGGCCACCATCTTTAAAAAAAAATGTTTAATGACATTTTAATAAACTGTGTAAATAGTGACATTAAACAGATTAAATTTGCAAAGTAATCCAGGTCATAAAAATGACATTACACAAGAATAAACAAAAACATTGAAGTCTGTCATTACAGGACACTGCTGTCACTACTTAAATTTTCATGTCACCCATATAACTACTTGTAACTAGGTATTCCTGATCATAACCTGGAAAACAGTGTTGTGCTGGTGATTAAAGGGGTCATATGCTTTTTTAAAGATCATTATTTTGTATATTTGGTGTAACAGAATATGTTGACATGCTTTAATGTTCAAAAAACACATTATTTTTCAAATACTGTACATTATTGTAGGTCCTCTATGCTCCGCCTCTCTCAAACGCTTCGTTTTCTACAAAGTCCCTCCTTCCGACAAGCGCAGTCTGCTCTGATTGGCCAGCTGACCCAGTGCATTGTGATTGGCCGAACACTGCAAGCACTCGTCGGAAATGTAATGCCCCTC